CCACCAGCAGCACCACTCCCTTAAAAGTGACAGATGTGGGGGGGAAAATGACAGATGTGGAAGCCCTCTGTCCTAGGCTGTAGGGTGACTGGGTCAATCTGCTGGACAGCACACAGCAGTGACAGTGGGGTGGTGCACAGAGAAGTGAATTCAGCTTTGGAAAACACAAGTGTGCAGTGCTGCCAGCTAAATGTATGTGTCAAGAGCTCAGATTGGAGAAGAGCACAGGGTGAGGGAGGTTTGGAAGCTTGTTCCATAAGGATGTGGGCACCGGATGTGATTGAGAGTGCTCAGCACAGCGAGTAGAGCTAAGAGAAGGGATTTAGAGATTTGCACATTAGGGGAAATGGACAGAAAAAGGAGAGAGGGGAACTCCTTCAGGCTGAGAATCACTGGAAATGAGAAGTATTTTCCAATCTGATTAGAGTCATGAGTTCCAGAGCAGGAGAATTTCAGTAAGATCAGGCTAGGGGCAGGAGGCTACACATGAAAATGGTATAAGTTATAGGTAGGTGACTTTATGATGTTAATTGCAAAAACCAGGTTGCAATTGCAAATGTAGAAGTGGTGAGGAAAACAAACTCTTCTGTGAAACAAGGAATTTTCACAGAAAATTCACAGCAGGTGATTTTCATTTCCTTCTTTGCGCTGTACTGTATTTTCCAAGCTTTCATCATGAATATTTTGGTAGTTAAAAATAATTCTAATTACTTTTGGTGATTTAAGAAGTTACCTAGCCACTAAAATGTTTAGGTCAATATTTAATTTGGAGGACTACACAGAATTGAAGAGGCAAGATAAACTCTTTAGTATGGCCCACATTTTAAATGTTTTTTTTTTTTGGTTTTTTTTTATTTTTTGTGTATGTGTGTGTACATGGGAAGAGGAAGAGAGAGAAAGAGAGGGAAGGAGGGAAGGATGGAGAGGGGGGGAGAGAGAGAGAATATTGATGCCTTTGAGCAGTGGTGCTGGAGAGGAGTGTTGAATATACCATGGACTGTCAGGAGAACCAATAGGTTCATCCTAGGGAGGGTGAAGCCAGCCTGCTCCTTGGAGGCAAGGATTTTGAGGCATCAACTTTGGGCATGTTGCAAGGAGGGACCAGTCAGTCCTTGGAGAGAGACATCATGGTTGGAAGGGTGGAGGGACAGAGAAAGAGAGGGAGACCATCGATGAGATGGACCAATACAGTGACTGGGGTAATGAGGGTGGGTGTGTCAGAGACAGTAAAGTTGGCACAGGATAGAGCAGGTTCTGAGCTCTTGTACATAAGGTCGCTCAATGGCACATGACAACAACATATGTAGTGATGGCTACAAAAAAGAAGGAACCTGGTAAATCTTAAAAAAAATTACTCCTGGAAATAGAATTGTGCACAGTTTATATTAGCATGTATGCTGCTTCCAGATGTACTATAGTTATGCAGTGGAGTGTAGGGTAAAGGCTCTGAAGACAGAACACTGCCGTTTGAATCCTCTCCCCCCTTTAATGAGCTGGAGTACATTGGTCAATATTGAACTGCTTGCTTTCCCTGCACTTTGATTTCTCCATTGTAAAAGAAGTGTTATAGGCTTATTTTAAGGACTGCTCCAGAGTATAGATCAAGCTCTAAGAGATAATCCCCAGGGTATAAGGGAAGAAACCCTGATAGCACAGTGCATTGAATGTCCAGCTGCTAACTGCAAGGTTGGTGGTTTGAATCCACCAGCCGTCTGTGGGAGGAAGCTGGACAGTGTCTTCCCATAAAGGTGTGCAGCACAGGGAGCTTGGTGGAGGGTTGCCCTGAGCTGGATTCTTATGGAAGATGCTGAGTTTGAGAAAAACCAAAGAGTTGATTCCTTTCAAAAACAATCTTGTTGGCAAAGAATGTTGAATGTCCCATGGACTGCTAGGGCAATAAAGGTCTGTGTTGGGAAAAGCAAACAGAATGATCCTTAGTAGCAGGGATTGCTGAAACTATGTTTCATGTACTTTGAGCAGTTGTGGGAAAACCAGCCCCTGGAGAGGGACATCATGCTTGGTAAAGTTGTTGTTTACCTTCAAGTCAGAACCGACTCAACAGCTGACCCTCCAGAGGATTTTCAGAAGCAGTAAATGGCACAGGAGGAGACTACCCATGTTTCTCCTGCAGAACAGCTGGTGCATTTGGGTTGGCAGTGCAGCTCCTTACTACTAAGCCACCAGTGTTCCCTGGTAAAGCAGAGCATCAGCAGGAAGGAGGAAGACCGTCAGGAAGGTGGACTGACACAGTGGCTGCAGCCTCACATAGCGGTGCCTGTGAGGGTGGCTTGCACCAGGCAGTGTTTGTTTCCGGCACATGTGGTGGTGCTGTGAATCAGGACTGACTCAGCAGCGCCTGACAGCAGCGACATAACCATGAATCCTGCGGCCATTAAGTTAATTTGAGTTTGAGGGCCTCTCCGTTGGATTTCCGAGGCTGCACATCATTACGGGGGGGGGGGGGGGAGATTGCCTCATCTTTATCCCAAGAGGCAGCTGGCAGGCTTGGACCACACTGACCTTTTAGTTAGTAGTCCAGCACGTAACACACTACACCATGAGGGCTCCTTAACAGATCATATGTTTGAGCTATGACTGATGTTGCTGTCCTTCTAAGTCCACTGCTGCCAAGTTGATTCTGATTCTTAGTGATCCTATAGGACAGAGTAGGCCTGCCCCACAGGGTTGCCCCACAGGCTTTAAATCTTTATGGAACAGACTGCCTCTTGTCTCCTGAGGAGTTGTTGGTTGGTTTGAACTGTCGAACTTTCAGTTCGTAGCTGAGTGCTTAATCCCTGTCACCATAACTCCTTTAATACTACTGTTAGTGCATTTATTTAAAAAATGAGCTTTTAAAAAAGTTATCTCAGAAGTCAGTAATAATCTGATTGATGTAAGTTTTAGTGGTTGTGTGGCTAGAGCTTGAATGATAGTAGTAGGAAATTTAAAAAGATGTTGAGAGCTGCTGTCCCTTCAGTTCCAGGTCACAGTGACCCTGCATGAGAGTGAAGCATGCACAGCCCCGCACCACCCTCATGGCTGTGGCTGTGCTGGGGCCCCTTGTAGCCACTATGTCAGTCCATCTCAGGGAGGGTCTCTACCCACCATGATGTCCTTCAGGGACCAGACCCTTACCCTGCCTGATAATGTGCACAAAGTATTAAAAGCATAATATAAGCACTTAATAGATGCTTAGGAGAGCACCTTTCCCCTTGAATTTAACTTTGTTTATATCTATGATTTTATTTTATTTGGTATAATTTTGGATTCTTAGTATATGCTGTAATCTGGAGAACGACCACGTGGCCAACTGACTGGAAGAGATTGATATTTGTTCCTATCCCAAAGAAAGGTGACCCAACAGAATGTGGAAACTACAGAACAATCTCACT